TTATCAGTGATCAATTTTTTTGGTATCTTAGTTAACTGGCATTTTCATCAGAGATGCCACAGAATAAAAGGGGGAAGGAGAGTGAACTGAAATTTTTTTAGAGTGGCACTGTTTGCACAACAGAAACTTGTGTCTCTCCTGTTTGTATTTGGTAGCTAAAAACTGAAATTAAAGTTTTATTTTAGAAAACAAATGACTCAGTAATAACCAGAAGTCCTGTTCTCAATATTAAGTTGAATATAGTTTTTAAAGAACTATTTTAATTTTGATGTCAAAATTGTTTTTCAGTGGAAATGCCTTCTCAACAAAGACAGAAACTTTCTTTGGACAGTTTGTTTCCTTTTGATTTTTATTTCAGCATTGCAATGCGAAATTAAAACTAGTTTTAAACCCACACTATTTTGTTGTTTGGGTTTAAAAATAAGATTTCAGTTTTAGAAAAGCTGGGGATTTGTGTTTTTGAAACTGAAAAATTTCACCAAAAATGTTTACTGACCCCCTCTCCTACAACATTCAATGTTCATAAAATCAAAATATTTTTAGGTTTTAATTTAATCATTTTGTCATTATTAAAAATGTCTCATTTTTGCCCAGTTCTGGTTTTATACATTATAATTCTCAAATTGGACTCCAGGCAAAGTCCCTTTCACTTTTTTTCTGTTATATTGATAAGCAGTCCAGCTTTGTGTAAAATGTCTCTGCTATATCTTCTGTCTCCTATTGGATCACAAACAGCCTCCAATGTTCCTCCCCTGGCTTGCAGTCCACTTAGAAGTGGAGAAATGTTTCATCTAATGTGTTTTCCTCATCCTGGCATATATTTGCAGTGCCTAATCTCTTTTAGCTTTCTCTAAACTCCAGGATCAGGTCGTAAACATGGCAGACAAGAATTTAAAAGCCAAGCCTCTTTAAGGCCTCTTGAAAGCATTTCTGCCCTAAAACTCCTATTATAAGACCTGTATTTCACAATTAATGAGACTGTTTCCAATATCATTATCATTTTCTGAAATCTAAGTTGTGCTTGGAACTGTGATGTGGCTTCTTTCTGCCTATAAGCTCATAACATTGACAAAGAAATGCTAACTATTTTTATTTTTTTATGATCAGTCTGGACATAATGTTGTTGTAGTCAGATGATGCTTTGAAAGCATATGTTATTAAGTTATTATCTTCAAGAAAAACAGCCTCCAGCCCTTTTGGAGTTGCATCAATTCAGATTTTAGGCTATTTGTAATGTCAAATTACTTCAGCAGCAGTGCTTCCATGGCCACTTTTTTTTTAGTTCTCATAAACTTTTGTTTCACTAATCATCCCAATGCCATTCTGCATTGTCCTCAAGCAATATTCTAAGTAGAATACTTAAATGTGATGAATTAGAGAAGAATTTATTTAGGTTGATATACCTGTGAATCTCTAAGACCTGCTTGCTATGGGGTCCATTTATATAACTGTCTCTCTGGTTACATCTAGACTGCAGCATTTTTCCAGAGGTATCCTGGAAAAGCAATGCCGCATCCAAGGAACGAGTCTGCTTTTCTGAATTTTTTTTTTGAAAAAGCGGATGCGCTCTTTCACCATCCCTGTAAAATCTTGTTCTATGAGGCATAAGGGATGTGTTGAAAGAGCAGGTTTTTCTGAAAATTGGCACTGTGTAGAGGCACCAAATTTCAGAAAAGCCTCTTTCTAATTTAACTCTGCAGTCTAGAAGTAGCCTCTCTTTCTTGAATTTGGTCAAATGATCCAAAAGCAGGTCAAATATAGAGACCAAGGTGAGGTTAGCACCTCTACTGCTCAGTCTTTTGAAGAGAGGTTCTCTGAATGTGATGCTTCCCATGGCTTCTATTGCTTAAGACACCACATTATCATCTGCTTTTAGCATGAGGAAGTTTTATTTATTTAACAAAGAATTGGGATTTAAGAAAAAGAAAATAGAATTAATGAAAACAAATTAGCGTAAAAACAGCCATACTGGTGAGACCAAAGATCCATCTATCCCAGTATCATGTCTTCCAACAGTGGTCAATGCCAGATGCCCAGAGTGAGTGAACAGAAACAGGTAATCAGCAAGTGATCCCTCTCCTGTCATCTATTTCCAGTCCCTGACAAACAGAGGGTAGGGACACCATTCCTAACCATTCTGGCTAATGAGTATTGATGGGCCTAACCTCCATGGATTTATTTAGTTCTTGTTTGTACCTTGTTAAAGTCCTGGTTTTCACAACATCCTCTGGCAAGGAGGTCCACAGGTTGACTGTGCACTGAATGAAGAAAAACTTCCTTTTGTTTGTTTTATACCTCTTACCTATTAATTTTATTTCGTGATCCCTCATTCGTACATTATGGGAACAAGTAAATAACGTCCTTATTCACTTTTTCCACTCAAGACTTAGTTTTATAGACCTCTATCATATTCCCCCTTAATCTCCTCTTTTCTAAACAGAAAAGTCCCCATCTTTTTAATCTCTCTTTATATGAGATCCGTTCCAAACTCCTAATAATTTTTGTTGCCCTTTTCTGAATCTTTTCCAATGCCAATATACAGGGCTTGACAAACTGCAGTGAACTCCACTCGCCAGCCCCACACTGAGCATGCGCCAGACCTGCATTGCTCATGCGCACGCCGCCGGTGAACAGGGCGACCAACTGATATCTACTCGCAATGGGCGAGTAGATACACTGATTTGTTGAGCCCTGCCAATATATCTTTTTTGGGGTTGAGGTGATCACATCTGTATGTAATGTTCAAGATATGGGCATTCCATAGATGTATAAAGAGGCAATAAGATATTCTCTGTCTTATTCTCTGTCCCTTTTTAATGATTCCTAACATTCTGTTTGCTTTCTTGACTGCTGCTGCATATTGAATGGATGTTTTTGGAGAACTATCCAGAGTGATTCCAAGATCTCTCTCTTGTGTCGTTAAAGCTAAATTAGTACCCATCATTTTGTATGTGTATTTAGGATTATTTTTTCCAATGTGCGTCACATTGCATTTATCAACATTTTGTTGCCCAATCACCTAGTTTTGTGAGAACTTTTTGAAGCTCTTCCCAGTCTGCTTCGTTCATGGATACATAGAAAATATCTGTTATTCTATTATCTAAGAAGTTATTTTCTTGTCCTTGTTTAGCTCACCCCAAAGTCTTTCTGCTGATGTTTTATATTACAGTCTGTGACACTTGGTTCACAAGACATGCATGCTAGCAGCTCGCCTCCTAGGTGAAACATAATGGTACATCCTTGTACACTGAGAGATACTCCAACAATCCATTGTCTTTACTCCTAAGCAGGAGACCCCACTAGCCCCCGCTCCCCTAGACTGTTTTTTTCCCTGTAGGCTTTTGATATGTTCTGCAAGAACCTGGCTCGGTGTGTAAATAAGCTTCCATTGTAAAACATACAGTACCTTAATTTATATATATAACCAGACAGTGAGAAATGTTTGTTACTGCTAGTCTGAAAAACATGTTTATCACCCTCTAGTGACCTACTTTACTCATATACCTTAAGAACAGAATTTCCATTATAGGTACAAAATTATATACTTTGTAATGGTTATTAGGACTGGAGTATCACTGGCTCTCAGGAGAGACTTCATTACAACATAGACATCAGACTCTAGGGATCCCTGTAAGCCTGTGTATGCCCCGTATGTCCTCTGCTGGTTGGCATTCCCACTCAGACCCCACACTCTGCAAAGCAGCACAACTAAAATGAGTTGGGTATTTCTTTAAGGGGGATGCTCCGTCCCCTATATAAGTGGACAGCATCCATACATTATGATATAACAGGTCACAGTCAATGTACACTGAGCCCTGTCATATGACAGCGTTCAAAACTTTTGCAACCGTGACTTATAATTTGATTGTGGTAGGGGAATAAATATTAGTTTCTTACTAGCATTGTGTGTATCAGACCTTTATGCTCTTATGTCAGGGAAAAACAAAACTCTCTTAAGCACCTGTGAAGGAAAAAAAAGGAGTTGGGTCTGATGTCTCCTCCATGCAGCCACCTTAGGTGAAGATAAAGATTATAACAGAAAGACAATTCCTAATTCTGGAGTTTATGGTACAATTCTAGAGTTTATCGGGTCTCTGCTTAATGTTACCAAAAGAAATGACTAAGGAAAAGGTGATAAACAACTTATAGATATTCCCCTCAAGTGTAAATAAAAGTTTTCAGTCTCCATTAATGTCAGCATGGACCTTTAATGAACATTTAAATTCATTTAGTGAGAGAAGAAAGTAAATTTGAAAAATGTGAAACTTCCACCAGCATCTTTAACCAAAGACTGAACATATTTATGTACAATGCATATTTAAAATGCCATGTTTAAGAGACTCTTAATATTCAAGCACTAATTCAACACATTCTCCCAAGGGAGGCTTTTAATAATTACAGTTTTAAAGTGTTTCCACATGCCTGCTGGAGCTGTTCAGTGGAGCTCACATCAGACCAGATGCAACAATTCCTAGCAGCTTTAAATACTTCTGGAATGACATATCTAAATTGATAAATGGAGATTACACTTGAAACTTGTTCCTAGATCACCAGATTTAAAATGAATGGACTATGGTTTTTAATATTTCGGCTAGAAATATTTTTCTGAAGACACTAGAGATTTCTGTGGGATAACAGATATCATTGTGGATAACAAATTTGAAAAATCTATATCCTATGGTAGCATAAACAAGTTAATGGCCAGTGTCTTCATTTATGTAGTTTCCATTGAGATCAATTGGAGTACACAACCAAGGGAAGAACATAGCAATAATTGCTACCTTAGACCACTTTTTTACACTCTTTAGAATATAATGAAATGGCAATAAAAAGAAAGCAAAAGAAAATAAAGCTGTATGCTTAGATGAATGACATGCCAGGGCTTGCTTGCTTAGAAAATGCATTTTGGATATGTGAATCAGAAAATGAAGTCTAAATGATGGATTGGTATAAAAATCTTTTGGAAATCATGCTTAGGATTAATTTTTTTACATTCACAGGTTTCATATGGGGTGAAATTAAACAGATGTGGGATGGTGGACTACAAGATTACATTCATGACTGGTGGAACCTAATGGATTTCGTAATGAATTCCTTATACTTGGCAACAATTTCTTTGAAAATCGTTGCCTTTTCAAAGGTAATCATTTTATTGTTGGCTAGTATTTTTTATAAAAATATATTAAATAACTAAGGTTATACTTTTTGAAATGCTTCTATATTTGAAAGGTTTTTTAATTAATAGACTGCTAGAATGATTCAATTAATCATTTTCCTAACTTGTCAGTTTTGCCATTAGTAAAATGGTTTTAATATTCTTTATCTGTGCCATGGAACTTTGGATGGCTTAATTTACCAGTATCAATAAAACAATTTGAGATGTTTGGATGTAAATTACTATAAAAATGCCAATCATTATTATTAGGTGTGTATAACAAGTGTGTATTTTATGCCAAAAAGTCTTTGCATAATTTTTTTTCTACTGAAGCTATGTTACTAAGATTATTTAACAAGTTCTATGCACCCTCCTCACTCTCCGATTGCATAAAAAATTAGAAATTTTAAAAAAACAATAAAAAGTATTACTTTTACATTGTTGAATGCTTTTAGTTTAATTTTATCAATCAACTGGAAGTTAATGCGTATTTTGACTAAATATTAGGATCATTATTGGGTAAAATTAGTCCATTTGCTCTGCATTGTTGTTTATTTGAATGAGAAATGTGACATAATCAACATTTGAACTTTCTTCCAGAGAAACATCAATTTATTTCAAAAGTATGAGTGCATCTACACTGCACCGGTTTCAAGATAACTAGTGTTATTTCAAAATAACAATGTGAGTGTCTACACAGCCATTCTGTTATTTTGAAATAATTTTGAAATACCAGACAGCTTATTCTAAAATCTGTAAACCTCATTCTATGAATGAGGAATAACTCTTATTCCAAAATAATGCCTATTTCCAAAATAGCTATTTCGCAATAAGGCGCTACACTGCTGCTATTTTGAAATAGCCCCTCACCAGGGATATTCTAATTTATTCCTCCCTAGTGCTTCCTGGGACTCTAAATCTAGATAGCACATCTACATTAGGGAAACCTGCCTCAGACTAATGTTGAGGCTTCCTGTGTAGACATGTTATTTTGAAATAATATATTTTGGAATAACTATTCTGGAATAGTTTATTTCGAAATAAGCGTTCAGTGTAGACATATCCCATGAATAGTTGAATGTTGCATATTTTCAATGTGAATTCAAAAATAATCATTCCTTGTAATAATTAAATATTCCAATTTCAAAGTTGTCTCAAATGAAGGAAAAATATTGGGGTCCAGGCCAGAGTAGTGGTGGTGGTGACGTGCACCGTGGCAGCTCATCCCCCCTCTGCGAGCTTTACCACAGGGATTGCCTGAGGGTGGGTGGAGCCAGCCCAAAGGCAAGGCCCAGGGAGTGCTGGCAAGCAGCCTCTGTAGCCATCCTCCATCCAGGCCAGCCCTGAGATGGAAGTCAGTGGTCTTTAGCAGGCCCCACCCACCATCAGGCAGTATCTCCCACTAGCACGTCCTAGGCCCAGAGGTGGGGGAAGAGGAGTGCATGTATCCCACCAATGCTCCCTGGGTCCGGCCCAGGGGTGGGGCAACTGTACATGCTTCCCACAAGTACTCCCCAAGCCCAGACTGGGAGTAGAGGGTCTACTGCCTACCAGTGTCTTCCTGCTGCGACATTTGCTGCCCCTCAGTGATCATTCCACAGTATAACTCCCTCCTACCAGATCCCTCTCCTTCAATTTTATGAGAAACAATCTAATTCCAGGCACATCCCATTGTCCTTGGACAATCAAACCCTGACCTTGCTTTAAGTTAGGATAAGAGGAAGCTGCATACCAAATTTGATGATCCTAGCTCTCATCGTTTGGGAGTTCTTGAACAAATGGACTCACAGACGGATAGACCGACACACATTTCTTAAATATATAGATAGATTTCAAAAAAAAATTGTCAACACTTTCACACAGCTCTTATCACTTATGAAAACTTTCTAATTTATATTTTTCATTATCATCATTGTATTTCAATGACTTAAAGTTGATTTCCATCAACCATCTAATAACTACATGGCCAAATTTTCTCCTGGACCAGGATCCAGTCAGCTAAAAAGAAAATGAGCAGCCATAAAGGAGCTAATTAAAGATCCCAATTCTTGAGTCACAGCATCTGCTGCAGCCATGGCATAAGTTTAGAGCAGTCTAGGAGCTTCTCTCATTTATATCAGATGACAATGGTTCATAGATGCCAATATGCTCAGTTGATAATTGTCAGAGTGAACCAGATCCCCCTGCACACACCTGACCTGCCATCTCCTTCTTCCATCACATCAGGTGTTCCTAAACCTTTTGCCTGCATGACCCCATTTTCACACTTACTGTTTCCTGTGACCCCAGACCACAACAAAGCAACATAGTGACCATGGAATCTAAGAATTTGCACATTAAATATATGTAATGCTCTCTAATTTGACACATGGACTTGTATATTGCAACACAGAGTCTTGAAGTCCAGGGATGTGATAGAAATTGCACATTGAATCTCATATGCAATAACAACAAGGGGTAGATACTATGACTTGACAGACAAAACAGTGCTGAATCCAGCTTCACCCAATTACCTGCTCATGAATGTCACTGGCAATTTCAAGATGCATCCATAGAGTGCAGGATATTCAGTCTTCACAGTGAACCAGAACACTAGAAGAGAAAATTATGTGTGTCTTCCTCACAAGGATTGATCATAGGAAATTTTGATGAGCTATTTGATTTCAGCTGTTGGCATATCCATAGAATTAGACTTGCACCAAAAGTAGGTTTCACACCCAATCATATATTGTCATGTCCAAATTGGGGGGAAAGGATGCAAACTGTTCCTCCATCTGGCTGAGACGCTCAGCCATCACCTGTGTGGGAGGCGCAATAATTTTACTGACAGCCAGGAACTTGCAAAGCTGTAGGAAGGATTCCTAATTTGTCTTCAATGGATTTTTCTTCCAGAAATCAATTTTCTGCATGAATCCTATGATTCAATTGTTATGGGTTGGATCAAAGAGTTTCCTTTGGGGTTTAGCACACTGGATGACATTCAGGCCACTGACAGCCACCTTCCTGTCCTCTGGGGCACCTCACCACCCTGTTCTGCTGGGCCAGAAGCTCTGGTCTCCTCCACCAAAGGCACAAGAGTTTGGGTTCCTGACCCCCCGCAGACCAACACAGACACTGAACCAGCCCAGCTCTGGGAGGATTCAACTATAAGACCTTTGTCAACACCCAGGAACTCAACCCCTAAAGAGGACTAAAAGCCTAAATAAAACTGTTGTACTCTGTATAAAAGCTTGACAGAGAGAAAGCTTGTAAGTTCATCCTCTTTTTCAATGAAAGAGAGATATGCACAGTGGATGCTCCCTTCAGGGAACAATTATTTATACTGCACTTAATAATAATCAAAAGTGTTTTTATTGAGTATAAAATGTAGGTTTTAAGTGGTTGCAAGTGAAAATGGACAGAAAGTTATTAAGCCAAAATAATAGTAAACGCCCCCCTCCCAGCTAATTCTAACACTCTATTAAACTTGTTACATGCAAATTCTTACCCTAACTGTTGTTCTCATTATCTCTTTCACATGCTAAGCAGCCACCTAGCTTGAGCCCAGTCCTTTCCCCTGTTCAGTCTTAGGGTGTGTCTAGACTATGCGGGGGTTTCGAAAAAAGTGGCCTTTTTTTTAAAAAACTTCCCCTGCATCGAGACTGCGGCTGCATTCTTTTGAAAATAAATCGAAAGAACACAGCAGTTTTTTCAACTGCGGAAAACCTCATTTTACAAGGAAGAACGCCTTTTTTCGAAAGTGCTCTTTTGAAAAGAGGTGCTATGTAATACAAACTGTGCTTTTTCAAAAGAGAGCATGCAGACTGCCTGGGTGCTTTCTTTTGAAAAAGCATCTTGCTTTTTCAAAAGTACTGATTGTAGTCTAGATGCTCTTTTTCAAAAGAGGATCTTTCGAAAGAGGCTTGCAGTCTAGACGTAGCATTAGAAACACTGGTGTTAGGTGTTTACAGCAGGCTTCTTAGCCGGTAAGTCTGGCGTCTAGCCACTCCCAGACAGTTTTGCAACCAGCCAGGTCATCTTCTAATCCTCAGGAATTGAATGGATGGTGCACAGTCTCTCAAAGGTGATGAAATAGTTGTCGATGTTCGAAGATTTATCATAAACTGGGCAGAGTCAATCTCACTTGAGGATTTTTGATGTAGCTCCTGCTGCACTGGGTTTCTGACTCTCTTCCAGTTCATGCAACCTCTCTTCTTCCCTCTCCTCTGGAACAGCTTTTTGAGCTTCTTCTTTGACTTTTTAAAATTGTTTTAGCTCCAGGGCTCTCTCGTGAGCAGCTTTTTCCATGGCAGCTTTCCCTGCTATCTCTAGCCTCCATAATTCCATAAGCCTTCTATGCAACTTGGACCCTGTGAAGTGCCAATTTTTTGGGGGCCTCACTCTCAGTCATTTTGCTGATTTTCCTGCTTCTATTTCCCTTACCCAAAATAAACAAACAGAAAATAAGAAACTGGTAACTACTTCATCTATTCTCCAGCCACCACACTTAAAATCATAACTAACATCCAGAACAACCAGCTGTGCACACCAGAACAACCTGTTGGATTATGCCACTGGGACAGGTTGGATCACAGAGGTCGTCTTTGGGGGCCAGGTGTTGCCAAAAGCTTTATAGCTGAGCTTGGTTCAGTGTCTGTGTTGCTCTTCTGCTTCTGGCCCAGCAGGACAGGATGGTGGGGTGCCCAAATGGGCATGAAAGTGGGCATCAGTGACTTGATCAGCACATCGGATGACAACTCCAAGGGGACCTATGTGATCCAATATGTCACATCAATCACTCAGCTGAAGAGTGTGGGTTGTTCTTTCCTTGCAGACCTGTATGAGTTCGTTCAGTTTCTCAAATGGATCCATGACATAGAGCTGGTTTATACTGCCACTTACATTGATGTAACTTATATATCCAAGGATTGCAGTTTCCCATGTGTATTTCACAAAAGCCAAGGCATGTGTATTAGGATCCTCAGTGCTTACATCAACTTGAAGAG